AGCGCCCGTGGTCGGCGCCGCGCGCGGCCCCGGGGGCCCCGGGGCTGGTTCTCAGCCCGCTCTCCACGGCGCCTTTTTATTTCAGTGCCTGTCTGCACTTTTTAAATCTCTGGCTAACATTTGTTTTTTCATAACTGCCTGCTCTCATTTCATGACCTGATAGGCTTGCTTGTCCCTACGATTATTTTAATTACACCGATTTTAATGTTCTGATCAGTTTTTTAAAGTTCCCTCAGGTACAAATTCTCTCTTAAAAGAAAGAAAGAAAATTTAGAGTTGTTGAGTTTTGTGTGTGTGTGTTTTCTTGGTTTGGTTTTCCTAAGTGGTTGTGATTGCGGGCGTATGTCCACGCATCCTTCTGTGCCTGAGATGCCCTGTTTTTCACCCTCTGCAGGGGAAGGGCCACAAGGAGAAGGGCGCTGCAGGACCTTTTTCTTTTTTTTTTTTTAACGAAGGTGGCAAGAGGCAAGATTTGTGGCCTGGGGGCCACCCCGCCTGAGCCCGATCATCAGTGTGTTTGCGTGTTCGCGCGGCCCACGCTCCCGTGCCCTCCCCCGACAGCTGAAGCGGAGACCCCGTTTTCCGTCTCCTGAAAGATGCTGTTTTTGTGAAGCTTCCTGTTCCAGCCGCTCAGCCAGTGACCCCTCAAACGTCCCCGGACCGCACCCTCCAGGTTGTCGGCCCCCTTTCCTCATGTGCAAATGGGGATGGTAGGAGACCTTCCTAAGAGTACTTAGCATCTCTCTTTCAGTACTTAGAAGGGAACCAAACATCTTCACCAGGACTCTCAAGGATGAATGAACAACAATACCAGCAATAACTTTACCACAGAAATGACAAAATATCCATTCTTTGCATATTAAAAAGATTTCAAAATCAACATTATGTTAAACAAAAGAATTTGCTGGGGGCAATCATTTGAAAATTGATGTTTGTACACTACAGAGCCTCGCTGGTTATCCATATCCCATATAAGGAAATGCCATCCATTAAAAAAATAAGGTAAAACCAGAACGCCGATCGAGTGCAACTATTAGGTTAACTCCTGTCTGTGCCCTGAACTCCTGCACTTAATGAGCATACTTTTAAATTTGAATATTTACTTTTCTAATCAAGAAATTAGAGGGTCATTGTTTTCAGCATTTAATCCCTACATTGACAACTGTGATTCCCAGCATCCCTTGGGCACAAAAATAAGGATTATTTTTAGTTTTAGGCAAAAAATAATTAAATGATTACGGCATATAAAGGCTGCTGCACACCCGGGGTGGCATGCTGCGTTCCCATCCTGAAGTACGGCCCGCTCAGATGGACGCGTGTGCATGCGCGTAACACGCACCACCCTCACTCTGACACCTGTGCATCTGCTCTCGTGACCTGAGGTAGGAAGTTCTGCCAGGCTCAGCTCAGTACAGTACAGAACAGACTTCATCCACTTCAAAATTTAATTATTTTGTGGTTCCCACTTTCCCCGTCTCTTTTAACAGGTAAGGCAACTATGCCCAGCAAAACTTGGGTTTTTGACCAACTCATAAAAGATATAAAAAAATATTAATAGCTAATTACTACTAATTAGTATTATTGATACTAATAGCTAGAAGTACATAATTTCAGACATTGATGGAGAGGTGTATTTAGCTCAGACTTTACCATGGCCTTTTTTTTTCCCCCGCAGCCCAGTGGTGGAGTGAAGCAGAAACATTGCCAGTCTGCACTGGAGACAGGGATGTTTCCTCCATTGTGCGTTGATATAGTTGAAAAGACTAAAGAGTAACACCTTCAATGGCTTTAGGAGCCACCATTCTTAATTCTGCATAATTCTCTTTGAATTAAATTCCAGGTGAAGTCAAGGTAGCCATTTCCTTGTCATATGTAGGCATGATATGGCTTCTGTGTTAAAGCATTGCACATAGATTCTGGACCTATAAGTAGCAGACAGGATTTCTTCATATTAACTTGCCCTCCACTTCAGGCAGAACACAGTCTTGTATTCAGACCTTCAGTGTCAGTTTTATTTCGCACAAAAATATCAGACCACCTCCATGTCCATTCTTTCATTCAATCATGCCCCCAACAAGTCCTCATTAGATGCTTGCTAAGTGCCAGGAATTGGGTTAGGTGCTGGGATACTGTTGTGATCAAGGCCAGGTGAAGACGGTTTTCCATGTTGCACGCTGTCTCCAGTTCTTACATCTCTTATGATTTTGTTTCAGCAAGTGCCATATGATACAAATGATCATTGTAAAAATTATTATCACAAAAGGAGTTGTGAGCAAAAGGCCAGTAGGTCAGTATCACTACGTCATCAATAATAGTGCTAATAACTTTTCATGTTTGTTTATCTTACATTCTTTTACTCTTGAAGTAGTAGCTTTGTGTGGGTTAAAGAGAACTAGTGTTTCTACTCTCATTTTAGAAGTGAGATTATAAGAAAAAGGTCAGATTCCTGTCTGAACTTGCCAACAGCCTAGATGCTGTTGGTCAGTTCCGGAGTTCAGGTTTGTGGACCCAGAATCTTCCATCCAGAGAGGATGGGTGAGTGAGTCCCTGCTTACTACTCTCCCAAGGACCCACTCTCGCTGAGGTAGAAGAATTTCAAGCACCCCATGAAGATCCAGCAATTTTAAACTGTATGTTCCTTAGGGCCTCTCTTATCTTGTGACCCATGGATGACTTGCTGAAGAAAGGAGAAAGTAAATATCAGAAACCTTATCACTAAACACAAACTGCAATTTGTACCTAAGTCAGGATGCTCTTCAGTAAATAAATCACCAGCTTCCTTAGAAGCCTTTACCCACCTTCTCATGTCTCTATCATGTCCTATAAATAGAAGTAGTTATCAGAGCCCAGCTGGCTTATTAATCACAGTTCATCTTACTCCCAGAAGACAGATAATTGTTATATTTCTATTCCACTACCTTGACACTGATGTAGAATTGTTCATAAACTGAATTCTAACTAAGGAACCACAAAATTTTAATAGAAAAACAATATCCTTGATTGTATTGTGGAAATGTAAGTGCCCAGTGCAATTTTCTTAATTTGTACAATTACTTAAACATCACAGTAAATGAATCAAGGCCATTGTCAAGCTTCGGTCCAGGAGAGTCATTAACTAGAGAAATGTCCCATGCTCTTTGGGACGGCAGTCTCCGTGAGCTGGCCACACACCTTTGGCAGCCTGTGGACTTTTTGACAGCTCAACAGCATTTCTGTGTTCAAGGCATCATCAACCTTTTCTTCAGGAGACAATGTCAGTTTTGTCACCCCTCATGTTACTGTCCTCAGAAAAGCACCTGGCACAGGAGGTTGAACCAATTCTCCACGGGAATTTTTAGGAAAACCACCTCCAATGTGATCACCTGAGATACCCCCAAGATAAAATGGAAATTCTAAACAACGTCCATAGTAAGTCTATTAATACTGATAAGGAAAGGGTTTTCCCCTTAATACCATAACACTACACACACACATATCAGGAGAGATAATTAAAAAACAAAACAAAACAGAACAACTGGGGAACAGAGGAAAGTATAAACATAAAAATTCAGAGGAGCCCTGGCCAGTGTGGCTCAGTTGGCTGGACACCATCCTGTG